GGAAGTTCATTCTCCGACTGGTCAATTGGAATGCGAATTTTCGTTTTACTGGAAGCTCGCTGAATTTGACCGATTTTTTCAACCTGAGTTCACACCATTCGTATATTCAAAGCGACTGAATTAATCTGGTGAAAATGTTTGCAACACGGATGAGAATTTCAGCATCAAAATTGACCATTCACGTCAAATATACGGAAGAAATGGCTGAAACATCGTCTCTAATTCAAACTGGGTTATTGCAGCCCGTTTGCAACCTCAGGCTGTATAGCATCCGTGACAAGATCAACTCCCGTGTTATTGCGCGTTTTATTCAGCCTATATTTAGATATCTGACAAAACTGGGCTTCGGTATATATTATGAATCAGAAAATACCTGGCGGCTATTTAATAGATATAGTGCACGACCTCTTTTAGAAACCTTGAATTCAGTCTGCAAGATTATATGCCAGTTTATGTACGTAAACTTTGGATGTTTGGTGTCTGTCAGTGACGCACTTGTCAAAATATCGGTATGATTTCGTAAAACACTGATCTATACTTAAAAGCACATAAGACCAAGGACATCCATTTAGTCAGGTTGAAGATTCTGTTCTAATAGATATAATGATCTAAGTTAAGTAGTGAAAGAACCAATTGGTACAAGAGCTATTTACGATGTGATTTGTATTGAGTATTTTTTGACCTACCATGAAGACAAACTGGGCTACTGCCAACTAGGTTGTTCGATAAACATAATGGGGTTCCGGCTACCACGGAGCATAAAAATTTGTTCGGTAGTTTTATTGCAACCTTTATATCTGTTTGCCTTTTGTATGATGATATTTCTGTTTGTGATGTAACGATATGTGTTGTGTTATACTGTAACATGATATTTTTCTCATGCCGTGGATCGAATTTACTGTATCAGTTTAATGGATCAAGAAAAGTTAATTATGTAGATTTCCATGTTCACTCTATTTTCCTTATTGCTTTATCGCTTCTAATTCATCAGGTTCATTTGATCAGGGATTCTCGCAACATTATTTCTAAGTTAAGATTTGAGTTTTTTTAGAAGGTATCTTAAGTCATAATTGCTTGATTGAGCTAGGTATCGTAGAATCATACCACTCTCAACTCCTGGGAATTTTTTCATAGAATTTCCTGGAAAGGCTGACGCATGCAGTTGATTAAAGACTTCGCCCAATCAAGCTGGCTTCCATTTGGGGCGCTGTTGCCCCGACCAAGTTTTCACTCAGCGTTAGGATCATTTAGCAATGCCGACGATTCAGATTGCTAGTTTCCTCGGCTTTATGGCTGCATTTGATTCACTACATCGTTCGACGATGTGGAAGATCTTGAAATGTTATGGGTACCTAGTCGTGCCTGTTTTTAAAGAGATGAATTCAGGAGCCATGTC